AAACGGGTGGGAGGGGCTGACTCACCAGAAGACTGGGCTGCCATTCAGAGGGACCTGGACAGGCTGGAGAGCTGGGCGGAGAGGAACCTCATGGAGTTCCCCAAAGGCAAGTGCAGGGTCCTGCCCCTGGGGAGGATGCAGGACCCATGCAGCAGTACAGGCTGGGGGTTGACCTGCTGGAGAGCAGCTCTGCCGAGAAGGAGCTGGGAGTGCTGGTGGACAGCAAGTTTAGCGTGAGCCAGCAATGTGCCCTCGTGGCCAAGAAGGTCAATGGTCTCCTGGGGTGCGTTGGGAAGAGTGTTGCCAGCAGGTGGAGGGAGGTGATCCTGCCCCTCTCCTCAGCCCTGCTGAGGCCTCCCCTGGAGTACGGTGTCCAATTCTGGGCTCCCCAGTACAAGAGAGACATGGCCCTACTGGAGAGAGTTCAGCGGAGGGCTTCGAAGAGGATTAGGGGACTGGAGCATCTCTCCTCTGGAGAAAGGCTGCGAGAGCTGGGCCTGTTTAGCCTGGAGAAGGGAAGACTGAGAGAGGATCTGATCAATGTGTACAAGTACCTGAAGGGAGGGTGTCAAGAGGATGGGGCCAGACTCTTCTCCGTGGTGCCCAGTGACAGCACAAGAGGCAACGGGCATAAGCTGAAACAGAGGAAGTTCCACCTAAACCTGAGGAAAAACTTCTTGGCTGTGAGGGTGACAGAGCCCTGGAACAGGTTGCCCAGAGGGGTAGTGGAGTCTCCTTCGCTGGAGATATTCAAAACCCGCCTGGATGTGATCCTGGGCAATGTGCTCTAGAGGTCCCTGCTTGAGCAGGGGGGTTGGACTAGATGATCTCCAGAGGTCCCTTCCAACCTCAACCATTCTGTGATTCTGTGATACAGAGAGCGTGTTAAATAACCAACTTTTATTCCTTTGACCACTCATATGTTAGGGGCAGTTTAAAAAGCCTCAGCTGATATTTGCTGTTCTGTTTTTCATTTCAAAAATGCAAGAGGAACAGTGTAGGACCCCATTAAAAAGAAAAAAGCCAGAGAAGTTTGTGGCAAGGCTGAAAGCCTGGCGACTGCTTTCACAGTACAACCAAGGCAACCATTAGGAATCATTAAATGCTCTTACCTGTCCTGCAAAAAGCCCACACACACCAATAATACAGAGAATGTTAAATACAGCAGAGCCCACGATGGTTCCAACGCCTACGTCTCCTTTTGTGATAAAAACACCTGAAAAACAAGTTCAAGGCAAGCTGTGTAAATTGGAAAGAACAGAATTTTTACTCAAAAAATTGCAGACCTCTCACCCCATTAATGACTCTAAAGGCACCCACCAGTTCTGCCATTTTTACTCTTATTTAATAGGGCAACTTGCAGAGAAAAGTACTAGGCTGAAGAAAGGTGGTAGAAATAGCTTTCTGAGAGGATTTAGCTAGATTGTCTAATGAAAACCAAAGACCTTAGAAATGTCTAAGTCACCAGTCTCCTAGGCTTGCAGACTAGGGCTACGGCAAGGCACATCATGAAAGTCAATAAGCTCTGTTAGAGCAGCTGGTAGTTTCCTGCAGTTTTGGGTCCTATCTGCCCTAAGGCCTCCCACCACCAATACTCCACTATTCCCTAAACCTCCATCTCTGTTGGCTTCTATAGGCAAGTAGAGGCAAGAGTTGGAGCTGATTCAGAGCTGTCTGGCCAGGAGTTACTTCCAAGCTGAATGATGCCCCTCATAATGGCTTAATGGCCTACGTTACAAGCTCCTTTGTGAGCTCTTCTGTCAAATTTGGTTAAAATTGGCCAAAGAGGTTAATGGTGAGGGAGATGAACAGACAGACACATCGTGGTACTGCATGAACCTCTTTCCTTAGGAAGCCAACATAAAAGTAACACGCCATCTCTTGCTAGCTGTCTAACTGTTTAAATTCACCACGTATAAGGCTCCAACTGAGTTTTTCTGGCCACCGTGGTCTAGATTTTATTTTTTCCTTTTCTCAGAAACACATTACACAGAAATAGTCACCTACTACGTGGCATTCAGTATCTGGTGGACTAAGCCACAGCAAGATAATGACCTGACTGTTAGAGCATCTCCAGACTGGCCTGAAGGAATCTGATTTTATTTTCACCCTGCTATTGCACTATCCTTGAGCATAACCCCAGCTCAGTCTGTTTTAAGTTCCTACATTTTGAGGCTAACAAACCAGCACTTTGATTGCCTAATCAGACCTCTCTGCAGAGTATGCAGCTTTGCGTGAATTAATTTGCACTCTGCATCTGATAGCTGTTACTGATTTTGAACAATCTTTTAGAGAAAGCATGTAAGCTCAGAATAATTTTCCTCATGGAGCTGGAGAGCCCACCTTAACCCTCCATCTGTTGTTCTGATGATCATCTACCTCTTAGGGATGTGGATGAGTACAGCTGCAGGAAGACTTTCCCCTTTTCCGGGTAGCATACGGTGTCATTTTATAACTGCTCTCTGAGTGAAGTCCCTTTCCCCCAATAAAATAAAGAAGGATCTACAATAGCATCCACTATGCTTAAACATCATGGGTACCAGCAGTTTCTACTGTTTCCAGGCTCAATGAATTCAGGGTGAGACAAGGATCTGTTTCACAGTCTTTCTTTACAAAAGCTGCCTCTAATTGCATGGCAATTGTTTCAGCCTCAAGCTCAGCACCCTCTCCAAATCCTTGCCCAAAGAGTTGGGCTGCTCTTGGCACACCCAAGTGTTCTTTCGTCCCCATCCACACAACAACCTTTTAGCCTGAGGCTGTGGAAGGAGCGCCCAAGTTTCTCTGAATTTCCCGGACTACATACCGCTGCAACACTTGATCGTGCTTCCCATAAGCAGAGTGATACTCTGGTAGAGCGATACTCTGAGCACCTGGTTGCTAAGATAAAGGGTCTCAAAACCTCTCCTCTTGTCTTCAGCTTTCCCAGAGGAAAGAGGTGTTCAAAGACTAATCAGAGTAGAGGTGATGGTGGAGAACATGTATATGAGGACACGAAGAGTTTGCCTGGGTATCAACCTGAGAGGCTGGAGGTGCATACTTTCACGCTAAGACCTAGAGACCCTGTGACAGGTAGCATTTGGAGGGTGGACAGGAAGGACAGGAGGAGAAAGCTGCGCGGGCAGAGCTCAGCGCAGCACAGCTCAATTGTGGTACAGCAAGGTAAGATTAATAGATGGTTATGGTGAACTGACTGTGGTGCTGGCCCTGGTTTCACTGAGGGAGACTGAACCACTTCTAAGGCAGCCCTGCCATGGGATAGAGGTACTTTTTAAAAAACTCTTTATCTGGCTGGAGATTTGCACATACAGCCCCTGAAATCTAGTGAGAGTTCACCACAACTAGTCCTGTGTGTGTCCATGAGGTCAGGCATTGTAACAAATGTTGCTGTAGGTGATCAGCTATCCCATCTGAACTTCGAAAAACCGTGAGGGGAGAGAGTGGATTTCAAGAAGAAGCGGCAAGTTAGTTAGTTACCTATGACAGATGTAAACAACTCAGGAGCAGAGCTTCCAGCTGCCATGAAAGTTGCCCCAGCCACATCTTCGCTAAGATGCAAGCGCTGTGGAAAAACACATCAGAGTAATTGATTACAACACTGAGACTGAACTGACAACACTGAGTTGAAGGAATTCAACTAGAAAAGTTACACTGTCTGCCAAGAGTGGGAAATTGCCAATATGTATTTCAAGAGAAATACAGGAAAAAAGACATCATGGCTATTAGTGACCCTTAATTTCCATTACTGTTTTCCAGCTACTTAAGTGAGCATCTCCTCATACAGAGGGCAGGTTGGGGCTTTGACATCCTTTTCTACCTTGGAGAAAAGGAGCAATACTCCAGAAGACAGTGGGGCATTTTAGCAGTCAGGATAGCTTTGCTTTCTCCATGACCCCCAAAATACATCTTATCTCCTCTCCTGTGGCTTGTTATTGGTCAGAGCTGGAGCTCAGGCTCTGTCCATCCTCTGACCTCCTGCCTTGAAGACCATTTCAGCCTTGGACATTTAACCTCTCCTTACCATCCATCTGCTTGGATCATCATCAAACATACTTACCTTCTACAGCCTTCCAACAGCGGTGCCCAGGAACTGTTCTTATTTAAAATTGTGTTTCCTGGAAGAAAAAGGACCTACTACTCTACACAGACTCCTTCAGCATATGCTGTTTCCAAAGATTTACTTGGTTAATTACTTCCTTTATGTTTCCTGCATTCCCACTGTTCCATCTGTACAAGGCACTGTTCAGTAAATGCGACAAAGCTGTTAAAGACCACATGCTTTGCTGGCACCTTCCACAGTTTAATATGAGTAGCTAAAAAAAAGCCACCCCCTGCCATACGGTCATAAATTGCCGAGCTGTTACTACACAAAGCAGGCTGAATCACATGTGTGTGAGTTAGCGGCTTCGATTGTACAAGCAAAGGGAAGACAGTGGGATGCGATGGGAACATTTCTCGAATAGAATTGATTGTTTGAAACAGCATGAACAACCTGACAAGCTTGAAAAACACTTCTTCCCTCCTCTTCTCTTCATAACTGTGTAAGGCTTCTTTGTTAACTTTTTCATTAGCAAAGTACACTCGCTCCTCCAAAATTGCAGGAAAAAAAACCCCTCAACTTAATCTTGACTGGAGAGTCCATAAAGTTCTCTTAAGGGCTTAAAAAGTCCTTAACTCTACCCACTGAACATACACATATAATAAAGATTTTTTTATAGATGTTACGGGGATAAGGAAAAACGAAAGGATATTCCCTCATTGGGAATGCTTTTTAAGCAGGATACCAGATGCTGTACTGCTATAAAAGGCTGTGGAGACTGATTAAATATAGCTTTATGGAAAATGACTAAATAAGACTACAATGATTGTGGAAGAAGCTCATAAGAGCAGAGGTGCATCCCCAAATGCTGGTTTCTTCTGCAGGACTCCCCATGGATATAGAGAAATGGTCATCCTTTAATACTCACACTGCATCTAGACTATATATTTCGAAAGAAAAAACCAAGAAAACCACTTGAGCTGACTTTCTGTGGAGATGGTTTAATTTAAAGCCACAGTGGGTTCCCTGGAGGACAATACTAGATAATTTATTGCAATGCATGTAATAGAGCAGAAAATATAACACTAAGGAGGAGGCAAGAATTTATTCTCTGGTATTTGTAAACAACTGTTTGCAATTGAGGTGTGGTGTTAGTTGGGTCATGTAAACATTTTGTAACATTAATAACAGAGAGTATTTGGAGAAACATGATTACAAATTGCTTTAGAAAATAAACAAAAAACAGGGTTTGGTTTGGAAGTAAATCTGCACGAAGACCCAATGTGAATGTCTATCATAACAAGTATTCTGGAACAAATTCTGATCTCAACAGATGTTTTTGGGAACATAAATACCTTTTTAGTATAACTCAACAACCACTTTCCAAAGTAGATTTAGCTAAGCCAGAGAAAGGGCATTTATTTTAGACTTAGTGTATCCAGATAGTGAGCAACTGTAGAATAACTACTGGTTGATCTCCAAGACTGAAATCGCCCTCAGACAGGGGTGTGCATTCTTTTTTGCTGGATATGACAGCAGACGGTAGTGGGATTACTGATAGTAGAGCTCAGGTCAGTGGCAAGCCGTTACCACTTTAGAGTGGTTTGCGCGCTAGGTGCATCTCGTGTGCTGCCATAGCCAAATCAGCCACAGAGGTGGGGCTCCTGCCCAGGAGGCCTCTCTTTCTCTCATTAACCTTTTTTGTGAATTAAACAAAAAAGAGAATCCCCTTGAAAACATCATGGGTCTCATCTCACTGGGTAATGCAGGATGCTGGTTGTCTTCTCCCATGAGAAGAACCCCTGGCTCTCCAAGTCGGCCCACTGATTTCTCTGGGTCTTTTTGCGGGGGAGAGTATTACTCAGTGTGAGGAATGGTGGCAGCATCTGCTGTCATCTGGAAGAGTGATAAAACTTTCCCTTTCTGAGAAAAACAGGCCAGAAAGGCGACTACAAAAGGCTGCAGAGGCTTCTGTGAAGTCACTCGAGCCTTTTCCCATGCATTCCTGAATGCTAACATCAAGGCCAAATCACGAAAAGCTGGATGTTTTGAAGACAAGCCACTCTGGATTGATAAAAAGAAAAGTAGATGGAACAGGAAACAGGAACGTGCGTTTCTTTTGCTATTATGTAATTCAGCAACTGCTTAATGATGCTTGCAGTACGTCAATAAAAGGACGTGAATGCCTCCAAAGGTCACCAATGGGATGAGAAAAGCCTTTTCTGAAAGAGAATCAAGTAGGAGCTACAGAACAATGAAATTCTGACCCAGTTCTGTGGCTCATTTTGATAATCCCTAAAGACACAGTATCTCTCTCTTGAACGGTAACTGCTTATTCCAAGTATGCCAGATATAGTATTCTAGTTGTATGTTTTCTCTTGCATGTACAACTGAATAAAACTCACTAGTCTCATCTTACTTCTTTGGCGGTGTTGGATAACACAAGGGTCAGAGCTGTTAAAGCACATAAACAGTTAATATGTATTCAGCCTTTGGAAAGATATCAAGCAACCAAAAGCAAAACCAAAAAGGAAAGAGCTGGTCAACTGAAAGTAGCCTTCTAGAAACAGGGGCTTGCAAATATTGCATTAAAAACAAGAGAGGAGGAGGTTTGCGTTTCATATATCAGATGTCTATACAAGCACAAACAAATCTGAGAATTTGTCAAGGGAACGACTGGTGCCAGGACTTCTGACACTTGTGCCTTTAAAACTGACTGTTGTTTAGCCTGACAGGCTTTCTGGGGCAGGTGGAGAGACAGGCAGATCCTGCACCTACAGACCGCTAACGAGGATTAAAGGAGAGGGAGCTTTCTAGTCTGTGAGTCTCTAGTTTATGATGACTAAGTTTGCCACCAATAAAGTTAGGAGGAGTTAACATTACACATGGTGTTTCCTATCATGATCTCCAAATACAGTCAAAAATCAACATTTCTATTGAACCATGCAGGAAATGGAGGCACAGAGAAGTGATGTAGCTTGTCCAAGGTCACTTGGACGGTCAACGGCACCGTCAGAACAGGTGCTACCTCCCTGCAGACCCAAGGGCAGACCTCTGTCTAACAGGCCAGGCCCCTTACCAAAATACACTTGCCACACCTAGGGACTTGCTTATTTTTAATGTCTGCGAGTCTTCACGATCCAACCAAATATGCATCACTACTGTGCACTGTGGACAACCTTGCTGGGCTCACAAGCTGCAAAGTAAGTTATCAAGGTTTCTCTTCTCCTGCAGATACTGCAATTTCCCATCCCACCTTCTGCGATTAGGGGCTGAAACGAAAATGAGCATGAGGGGGGAACCTTCTTTTTTCACCTCAGTGAAGGAGATATCTAAGCAAGTGCCATAAGCCGAAGGGAAGAGGAAGAAACCCCCTGCCAGGAAGAGAACACAGCCCTTGGTGTTGAGAGGAGTCCCAAAGCAGCAGCTGCCTAGGCTGCAAAGTTTGCGTGTGGTGCTCATACAGCTTTCAGAAGCCACAAGTGGGTTGTGAGCTCCTTGCAGTAACTCCCTGCAGCAAGATCCTGATCTGTGATGGAAAGCAAAGGCCACGTTTTTAAGCCCTCACTACCAATAGTGCTAAGGGGAACTGTGGAAACAGGTCTCTGCTTACAGAGGTCTAAGGGGGGGCAGAGACAATTTTCCAGTCTGAGTTTGCACATGGGTAATTAGGAGTCCCCTATAGATAGGGATGTTTTGGAGGGAAGGCGGAGAGGATGCTGGAAAGATGCTAAAAGAGATGAAAAGCCTGAGGCCTCTGGGGAGATGCAGGCCATGTGTATTTCTGGATGAAAGCAGTTTTTAAATTTTTCTGCAGTGCCATGCTCTCCCTCTTAAGCTGAATGCCAGTGCTGTTCCCCTTCCTCCATCTCTTTTCCTTTCATCTGACTGTTTTCAAGCCCTGCTCCCAGCATTACCAAGTCTCTTCCTCTCCCAGAGCACTTCTCACTTTTCAGGGAACCGAATGAAACTGAAAATTTGGTGTTCAGAGAAGGCAGAGAGAAACGAGGCAGTGGGGAGAGGGAAGAAGGGGCTGGGAGGGAGCACATGCCACGGCTTGGACTAAATAAGGTCACTTACTACTCATTCAATTGACCAGCAGCTCAGGAGTTGGATAGAAAGGATACCAAGGAGGGGGCAAGCTGTGTCCTTGCTGGTAGAGCTGGCTGTGACAGGGGACTGTGAAATAGCTGTAGGATAATTCAGGTTGGAAGGGACCTCGGGAGGTCTCTAGTCCAACCGCCTGCTCAAAGCAGGGTCAGCTATGGAATCACTTCAGGTTGCTCAAGGCTTTGTCCCGGCATGTCTTGAAAACCTCCAAGAATGGAGACTGCATAGCCTCTTTGGGTCACTGGTGCTCAATTATCCTGGCAGTGATACATACATTTTTTCCCCTTATATCCAGTTGGAACTTCCCCTGTTGGAATTTAGGCCCATTGTCTCTTAGCCTCCCTCCACACACCAACTGGCTCCAACTTCCTCCCTCAGCCTCTGCTCAGAGGACAAGAGCTGCAGCCCCCAACTGTCTTGGTAATCCTCCTCTGAACTCCTTGCAGTTCCTGAATACCTTTCTTGTATTGTGTGGCCCAAACCCGGACATTGTATTCTAGATGGGGTCTAATATGTGCTCAGTGGAGGGAAATAATCACTTCCCTTGAGCTCCCGGCTCTGCTTCTGTTCATACAGCCCCAAATGCTGTAGGCTCTCTCTGCTGCCGGGGCTCACTGCTGGCTCATGCTCAGCTTGGCCCACCAGACCCCAGGGCCTTTTCCACAGAGCTGCGTGCCAGCCTGTCTGGGCCCAGCCTGTGCCATTGCAGGGGGTTACCTACGCCAGCTGCAGCACTCTGCATTAGTCCTTATCGAAACTCAAGAGGCTTCTGATGGCCCGTTCCTCCAGGGTCCCTCTGCGTGGCAGCCTTGCCCTCGAGTATATTGCCTGCACGCTAAAGTACAAGCCTGCCCTGGGATACTACTTTCTCAGCTCAGGCAGCATTAGTCTACAGCGATCTAAGCTGGCCTTTTGCATCTGAGTTTCCTGGATTTGCAAGACTGCTTTGTTCTGGAGAGGGGAGGCTTGATAACTCAGTATGTCTATTTCTGTGATGTCTCACACCCTCATTTTCACATCAACATCTCCTTTCCTGGCAGCAGTAGGATCTCTCCCCCTGAATTCCACACAGGCTATACTCAGGTTTAGCCCTAAAGAGCTCTGCAGGACAGAAGTTCCCAACCATTCATATGCTAGATTATGCAGCTTTGGTTGTCCCCTGTACTTCAGAAGAAGTACAGTTAAAATGCATTATTATTAACTCACGCTGGATTCTTAAAATGTAAGTGCATTTATCCGGTCCCTGCTAAGCCTATTTGAGCCATGGTTTGTCGCCCTTCAATTACCTGAATATTTATGCACCAAAAAAATGGGACTTCCTGAGGATTTTTTTTTAATCTATATGCAAAACATGCTTGCATGGTAGGTTGTTGAGCCACAAATATCAGGTTAGTTTAGAGTCAGCACCCACCAGAGCTGTCAGTATAAATGATTTCACATACCACCTCCCACGCCTCCTCCCTAGCCCAGGCACAGCTCTGCTTCCATGATGAGCGACACTTTATTGCCAGGGAGATGGGCAGGTGTCTCTTCCAGCTGACAGAAATGTGACAGCTTGCCACACAAGTGGCAAGATCAATCCATGTTTTCCACACGCAGCACAGATTTCATTGTCTGAGTTTGGCATTAGAGAGGACTCGAAGACGCTTCAAGCACAATGTCCACTCTGTTGCTATCTGAGCTGATTCAGGCTAAAATGTACTCCTTGCCTTCTAAAGTTTCAGCCTGCCAGCCTTAGCAAAAGAGGGGCAGAGTCCCTTGCAATTGCTGGAAGTGTTAAGAACTTCTTTACAGCTGACCTAGTTGTCTCTGCTGCTTTACAGTTTATATTGGAACTAGTCTTTTGGTAGACATGGTATGAAATCCACAGTTTCCACCTGAGTAAATCACTAGAAGTTTTAATTCATATCAGCTCAGAGTACGTCCTGGTGTTTTGAACAGATTTCTGCAAGGAGACACAAACACTAGGCAATAGCAGCCACACACGTGTGTATTATAGGAGTACCTAGAGACCAGCTGATTTGTGAACTCTTGTATTGGCAGCTCTCCAGGAAAGTTAAAGGCTCTGCTTCCCAGATGCTTATGACTGAAAAGACAAACAGGAAGTAGGACAAGTGGCTTTGGTAAGGGAGGGATGGCTGAGTGATTAAACCCATGGAGAATGTGCAACTGGCCTACTGGATGGACTATACTAGTAGAGGGATGGGAGTCTGGGGGCTGGCAGGACAGCGAGAGAGCTGCACATCTGTGGAGTCCTGAACACAAACCAAGACTACGCTTCTAATCAAAGTCAAAGCAGTCCAACACAGCTCTAGAGTGAGTCAGCTCAAAATAGTCCTCTTTCGGCTGAAGAGGGTTCCCTTTTGGGGGGCTGAATGGCCCCACCACGCACATCAGGGGTGTACAGCCTCCGGCATGACGGCACAGGTGATGTGCAGGCCCGTACCAAGCAGTGCAGGGGCAGGTCAGAGCTGGAGGGAGGCTCAGCTCTGAGGTCCCATGGGGCTAGGAACATGTGCAGAGGCAGGATGCATAGCTGGCTGCCGAACAGCCCTGCTCTGAAAACTCAGCATCTCTCCATTCCCCTGGAGGTTTTACTGACACATTTCAACTCTCTTGTGCATTTTTCTTTCCCAGTCTGACATACGACTCTTGGGAGGTTTCTAAGTTTTAAGTTAATGCTATATGAAACTCAGAAATGCCCCATGCATGGCATGGCATATTTCCATGCAAAAGTCAAGAAATAAAATGTTATTGTCTTCCAAGTCACAAGAGAATTGAGTGACCTGCTTGAAGTCATAAATGAGCCAAACCACTGTTCCTTATGTTGGCAACGAACAACTTAATATCTTTTTCCCAGTACCTTATGCCTGGATCTTTTTTCAAGGGTGCCATTTCTCACTCAAGAGAGAAATGACCACATCGGTGGTGAGGGGCAGAGACAAGCCACTGTGCCCTGTTGGGCTTATTACCTAGAAACATGCATTGCAGCAAGCACTGCTATGGGAGCCTGCAGCACGGGGGTGAGGTCACGTTTGGCAGTCACTGTTGTAGAGCATACATTTTTTACTACATTATGAATTGTCTCCATTTTAAAAAAGTTGTATGATGCATATACAGGAATTGTTATTGAAGAGGAGATTGCTAGCTTTAAGAGGGAGCATCAGCCAAGTTTACCCATCAGGAGACAATCAGCCCATCTCCTGCAAGTGAAAACCATGAAGCTGAACCAACTCACACACACTGTGTTGGATAACTAAATAATATATTAACACACAATCTTCACATTTTGAGGCTCTCAAGGAGAACTGCTGCTAAAGCAACACATATGTAAAATTGTCTAATACTTACTTCACAAATCTTTTCCAATGAAGGGACAAAGAAATCATCACAGACGATTGCCAAAGCATAAAACATATACATGGCCTGCAATAGAAGAGAGAAAACGTTGAGTCTGGACAGTGTGAAGAAAAGATACTGAACTGCAGTGTCCCAATTCATCTTGGGTTTGTTTTGTTATAAGCTTTTTTTTCAAAATCTCTTGCAAGAAGAATTCATGGGGCTGTCTGGGATTTAACAGAAGGATCATGAAGTATTTACCCAGAAGTTCTTCAAGCTACCAGAAACTGCCAGAATTTTCTCATCATTATACAAACAATTCATTTTTATTTTTTTTTAATTCTCTGGATGTTGCTGAAAAACACTTAATAATTCTGCCTTGTTTCTTTTTTTTTTTCTCCTGTTGCAAAGTGCAAATTTTTTTCATGATTGCATTCCCTGAAAATATAGACTCTGGAGGAGCAATATTTGAAATGCTAGCATTCTGAAAAAAATTAAAGATCTCTGCCATGTCACCCAGGATCCCACTGATATTCTTCTAAACTCTGTAAGGGAACCTATTGCCCAGAGGGAAGGGAACCCATCTTGTGCCTTGACTCCTGTTTGGGAAAATCTGAGCTGGCATAGGCAAAAATCATGCCAAGGAATGTGTTAAACAGTGTGGACAACCACAGCCAGGCTTGAGTCCATATCCTGGCCAGCTTAGTTTACAAACGTAGACATAACCAAGGCCATCCACGCTACAGACGCCACTGAAGACTTTCCATCACCGTGCATAGACTTAGACCTGCGGCAAAGGAGCAGAGCCCGAAATACCGAGAGCCAGAGGAAGAAGGTGGCAGAGAACAAGGGCATCCCCCAGAACAGGGTAGCCTTGTCCATGCCACCCAGAGGACATGCTGCAGACAGAAGAGCTGTCCCTGAGATGCTGTAGCAAAGTTTTACAGCCAACCGGGCAGCACCAACAGGTCTGCACCGCAGGCAGCACAGCCAGAAGGCTGGTCTACAGCATGACCATCCTCAAGCGTCATCTGTATTGCCCTCTTGCCATGAGTTTATAGCCCCTGTCTGACTTGATTGAGTCTCCCTTACAGTGGAAATGGATGTCTCTCTGATATTTTAGCAATGTTTTGGGGTGTGTGTTTTTTTAAAAGACACAGCTTTTCACATGTAAAACTAACTGCACTGCATCTGAAAGTAAAGAGTCCTAGAAAGAAATAACTCTGGCATCTGGACCAAAAGAGCACAGGAGTGTGCTTTAACTCCCTTTCTTTTTCACATTATCACTGACAGGCATTGCAATATTATTTGCCTTTCCACTCTCAAAGAGAGACAGAACTATTTTAGGGTTCAAAGAAAGCTCAATTTTTTTAAAAACACCTTCAATGTACCACTATAGCATTATTTTTACAAGTAGTACAGGGAAAAAAAGATATATATATCTATGGAACAGATTTGAACATACTTCAGAAATGGTTTAGCAGGCTTCGTGACATGAAGAAAGCTGCTGTGCTGGGATGCAGGTTGTTTCCCTGCAGGCAAGTTCAGCTTGGAGAGTCACAGACAACGGGGTATGAAATGGAGGTGAGAGGCAGATATTCGCGCTTTTTCCTTATCAACAGCCCTCATGTGTGAGGCTCTTCCTCCACATCCTTGGCCACAACACGCTCCTTGCAATGTCCCAGGCAAGCCCCTTCTCTTATTTATCTTTTCCACAATTCATCTGTGTCCTGGGACTCTACCATGTAGCCTCACATACATGCCACTAATATAGGTGAGCAAGCAGAAACATCTTTCATCCAAAAACGGTGTGGTGCATGGGAACATGGACATTTTGCATTTCCCCTTATAGAGTCAAATGCTCATCTGCAGGCATGTGCCATGCTCCTGCCCTGTGTGAGCTTTGCAAGCTCTTGCAGCTCACATGCGAAAGTTTCCTCGGTTCTGTCCTACCCTTTCTCCCTCCTGCTGCTCTCTCGGGCAGCAAACATCTTGTCGAAGGCATGATGACCACAAAAGAAGTAGAGCCCCAGAGGGGCAAAATGAAATGTAGGAAAACCCACATGTTTTAACAGGCTTGAGTTCTAGATAAACCTTCCACCAGAAAAGAAATACATGGTGCACTGACAAGGACCGATACTGATACCTGGCACTAAATAGCCTGTACGAATGAGGAGCAATGGAAAAAAGAAAAAAAAAAAACCCAGGAAATTGCTAAAGCAGAGGGCGAAACTGATGATTAGGACTTGTTCAGAACAACTCCCTGGGGCTTGTCTCCCTCCCTCCCTGACTCCTACAGCGTCTGACCAAGTCTGACCATTAACACACATCCTTCAAGAGCAGATGGACAATTTTTTCAAAAAAAAAAAAAAGAGGTTAAGAGGGTTATAGCCTCCCTTTTAGTAGCACCCACAGGGAGATGAATTCCCCTCACTACCTGGCTGCCGCAGAGCAGAGGACAAGCCTAGTTATCGCTGCAAGGGCTCACGGAGGTACATAACCTGCCCACTGTTGGGTCCCCGTGGGCTGACGTGAATCCTGTCCATCTTCCAGGCATCACTGAGTCCTATCAAAAGGGAAATCAGACTGAATCCAGTGTCTGGGGAGCCAACACAAGGTGCATTCTCTGGCAGATGCTGGAGGAAAGCGCTGACAATTTTAAGGCTGCCATCGCAATTCAGAGTGAGGCAAGCATCTTTACTTGCCTTTGCAGACACATCTTCATATAAGATAGAAAAGGACTTTGCTCTTTAAGAGTATGCTACCAATCACTCCAGGCTTTCAGCTCCTTCCCCCTGACCAACCAGGCCAGACAGTGATGCAAGCTAACTCCTGATACAGCAAGGATCTTGGGGATAAGGATATATTTTGCAGAACTAGGTGCAATTCAATTCCTGGAAACCTTCCAGTGTATGATGGCAAGTTGTCTGGATCTCTGATTGAGTTGCTTAATTCCACTTATTTCATTTTCACTCTGATGATGGCAATTGTAATCCTTACCTGTATTTATAAGGTGCATGTTTATTGTCATATTTAGAAGATTTCTGAGGCTGCCACAACACTCATTAATTGGACTACTGTTGTAGATCAGTACTTAATTAAAATGAATACTCAGCTGCAAGGATTATGCATTATACATGGAAATGGGATTTTTGGACAGGACTTTGTTCTAGAACCTTTATTCAAATCCAGTGCTATTTTGATATAAATATGTCCAATATGATGCAATTACCGTCTTGATTGAAATACATTGTTTAGGAGCTTTTCTTCTATAGAACTGATGCAGTGCAAACAGAATCACAGGCATTCTGTCATTAGGAGACACAGAATATAAAGTCCATTTTAATTTTCAATAAATATTCAAAATTTGGCTGCTTTATAGAGTTACTTTGATTGCCAACTACATCTTAAACCATTCCTCTACTGTAAACATTTGCAGCTATCCCAACTCCAGTGACTTAACATTTACAAGGGACCTTTCTGACTATTTGCACACATGCTGCTTTATCACACAGTTGAACCAGCAGCTTCTGACAGTCAGGGCGCAACAGCAAACTCAAGTCGCTTGATTCACTGAGAATCCCCAAAAGTTCTCAAACAGTTTTGATTTCATAAAAGCTCTGATCTCCAGGAGCCAAATAAAGGCAAAGCTGAGGGAATGCAAAATGCCCCCTCTCCAAGGGCAACTCCAGCTGGCCTCTCACAGCTATTTCTGCTCAGATGTTTCCAGATCAACTCTCTGCTCATCCCGAGGCCTGCAATTCATCTTTTGCGACCCTTGCTTGTGCACTTTTTCCACAAAGCTCCTTTTGGTTGTGATCCTAGCCTCAAACAGGCAGGACAGGTCACTTCTGAAATCTAGCAAAGCACCTCCACCACAGAGCTGCTCCTTAGCCCAGCATCGGCCACCCCAGCTCCTCAGGATGAACACAGGCAGGAAAGGATTTGCAGAAGATGTACAGAGATAGCTTAGCGGGAAGTGTTTCCATCCCCAATCTAGTCATGAAGTGATACCAGGTCTTTTCCCCAAGCCAAAGCAGCCCTAGCAAGGCCTGCTGTGAACTTCATACTAAGCTCTGGGATGGCTGCAGTAGGGAGGAGAAGAGAATTATGGATGACAACAGTGTGGGTCACCGGGGAGAGTCACAGACAAGCATTAGCCCAGCTAGGGGTAACATTTTTCAAAACATGGAAAAAGGCAAGAAACACAACCGTTTTGTAATGGAAGCTGAGTTTCAAATTTCCTGCCTGTCTGAATCAAGGGAGGGTCCATAGCTGTGGCATTTGCAGGATTTTCTAGATCAGCTGGTGGTATGACCAATGTGTGCACCGCCAATGCAAGTGCCACATGCTAATCTTACAGCCACAGCATCAACCGTTATTAATTTCTAAATACTGTCAAGGTATCACACTGGAATGAGTCCCTCTATGGGAATGAGACCTCAGTGAGAGTTTTGCCTAAGTACGGAGTATTAAATAAAGCCACATATTGCTAATCTTGCAAAGATTATGTAAGCAAACCCAACTAAGCACCCATATAAGGCTTTGTGGGATCACGGCCTGCTCTTGGGACCACTGAAAAATGTTGCGTTCCGTGGAGGTTTTCTGAGGAACTTTAGGAGCTGCTTTTTCTATCTTCAAATACTGTATTATGGTTTATGATAATTCCTTGTCTGATGTACATTACTGAAGAAATGCTAATACAGGCAGTCAGGCAAGAGAAAGACAAATGGGAATATCTCCAAAACATGACCTTTTGTTCCAGCCAGGAAGCAAAAAAATACTAAAAGAGAAATGTTAGTGATAAGCAAAAAATGAATTACCTATTTGTTATGTGAAAATTCACATAATTCCAATTATAAAATGGGTTGGTCTGTGGAAGTAATCTTAATGGGACTGATAACTCACCCAATAAAAGAGTCATACAATTTCCCTTCACATCCATATCAGTAAAGAGGAAAGACAAATAGCAGAAGGATCATTACTTTCTTCTACTTTCTAAGGTTATCTTAATTTAGATGGAAATAAAGTCAATCAAAATGTTGTAGAAGGGATTACAAAATTCCGGTTTTCTACAAATCTTGGCC